GTTTGGTCTCGGCCCTAAGGACTCTAAGCAAACATTACGTGAGGACGATAATAATAATAATAATAATAAACTCGCAAACCTGTAGATCTATCAAAAGAATAAATAATAATAATAATGATAATAATAATAACAATAATAATAATAACAATATCGACAAAGACAACAACTAAAAACAAAAAAAAAACTGCAAGAACACAAAGTTGATGCCAATTTCAAAGATCGACAAGCACCTTGTTCCATCAAACATGCAGCTCATTCTATAACCAATGTAGCCAATAGCCAATTCGCACATCTCCCATCTAGGTGCATACATGGGTTTGCTTCCCTCACAAAATTTACTGCTGGACCAGGAGTCCAGGGGCACTTTCTATCTCATTTTGTATGGGAAAAAAAAAAAAAAAAAAAACTTTTTTTCTGGTAAAACCAAATGGAATGGGCCTCTCCACTATGATTTTTTTCTTTTAATTTGGAATACTTTCAGGGGTATTCCTCTTTTCTCATTTCACAGGGGTGACTGGAAAATTACTGAGTACCATTTTCTTTCTTGTACTAATGCTGTGGTCCCTGATGATATATGTAGTCCTTTTGGTGGGAAATGAAATGGAACAGCCTTTTCCTCTAGAAGGTTTTCAAATGCTTCCACTTGATACACACTCATCCTGTCTCATTTTATCTGTCAAAAGTTTGGACTGTTCCATTTGGCAGAGAAAATTATTGAAAAAGAAAATCTCTGAACATTTTACAGAAATATCTCAGTGCCTTCAAGAACACCTGGCACTCTCTGGAGATCAGCTGGGTATGCTGTTGAATTGCCAGAAATAATTATTACTATTTTTCAAAAGTATAGGCCTTCCAGAGGGAGTTGTAACATGTAATTGGGCCTCTCTTATTGCTCTCCAAAGCTGTCATTGTCACTCCACCACATTCTTCATATCTTATTAGTGTTGATTACCTGCCAGTCAGTGTATGTACATTGTTCATTCAAATACAACATGAGCAAAAGGTTATATGTCATACCTCATAAAACACTGGATGTCCAGCCATGTCAAAAATGTTCACTTTTAGTTCTTTGTCATTTATTGACACCCTGCATAAAAAAACAAAATTGTCCACTGCGACTTTCTGACTAAAGTGTAAGTGGCATTTTATTACATGACTGAGAAAATTACTTCATTGTGATTGGCCGAGAGCAGGTCAATTTATCATTAATTCTTAATTTGCACTGCAGTGCAAATTAACATGCATGCATTTGCAATTTTCTCAGTCATGTAATAAATGAGCAGTTGTACGAGAGCTAGAGTAATTAAGAATTTACACTACTTGTGATATTGAAAACTTCTCTCACATTGCGTTTGCCTATAGATAGGTTTGTGCAATTTTGAGAGAATTTCTAGATACAGTTGTATCACTCGTGGTGCGGGGTTGTGTAAATCTTTGTTGCACTCGCACTCATACAGTAACCTATACTCAATTACCACAAATATAGTTATATCATATTTACAGGTGTATTGTTAACAAATACCACTGACTCATTATAATTATGCATTACACATGGATTGGGACTCAGTGTAAACTCAGCTACCAAACAAGGTTTGCCATCAAGCATGTACTTTATTTTCATCATTCAAATTGTTCACTGTGAACATATCAGAGAAAATAGCCAATAATGTTCTTAATTTATGTCCAGGAAAAAATTCTGAAGGTGGAAAGTAACCAGAGAAAACTGTCAATAACTTCTCCAAACACCAAATCCAACCGGTGTGAGACAGAGAAGGATTGCGACAAAGATGATGGTCCAGTTAATGAAACAAACTCATAGATCTTTGCATTTAGTAATACAAATACCCAAAGGGAATTAAGCGGCTTTTAACTCAAGTTAAAGTAAAGTGACTAACTTGTTTTGCTGAGATTTACATACATTACATGCAACACTTAAAAACTACAATTTTGGATATCAAATAACTATTGCTGTGAAAGATTAAATCCCTTCTCCATTTGACAGGCAAAGAAAAAAACACACTCAATGACCACGTCAAGTAGTATTCTTTGCTTCCCTCTATCGACGCCTGAATTTCCTGAATCAGTATAAATAGGGAAATGTGACAACTGTATTGTGCGGTTCCAAAAAATATCCATTGTCACCCCTAGGAAGGTTATGGAAAAATTCCAGAGTGAGAGGGAATCTTTTTTTTAAAGGAAAGTGCGAGTCAAAATTGGAATATCCAGAGGGGTCAAGGGGAAGGGAAGTTCAAACCAAAAAGGTTCTCTGTGAGAGGGTACTAAATCAGTCAGTGTAAAATGCAGACTGCAGATCAGGGGTAAAAGGCAGACTGAAGGTAAAATGCAGACTGCAGACTACAGATTTTTTAACTGATTAATCATGTTGCCATTTCCATCATTGAGAGCTAACTGAAGTTAAACGGGCTACATGTAACTGGAGCATTACTTAGGCTATCATGAATTGATACATTGAGGCTAACCGGAGTTATATTCAGTCTAACCAAAAGTGATATTCAGGTTAACCCAAGTGCAAACTTTCACTATGATTAGCCTGAATAATTCTGTTTACAATCAGCACTCACTAATGGAAATATTAGGATATACAATTAAAACATCTGAAGTCTGCATGTCTACATTTTACCCCTGGTCTGCAGTCTGCATTTTACCCTCAGTAGGTGTTTCACCCCAATGCGCAGTCTACAGTCTGCAGTACACAGACTTCTGCGTTTTACACTGACCAGGTACTTAAATATATTTTCTGGAACAACACATTGCATATTGGAAGGAATAAAATTTGAAGTTGTTGCCTGTTCATCTAACAACCTAGACTAGCATACAAGTTATTTAACATCACTCACTTTGTTACTCCATAGTCAATTCCTATTGTTGTCATGTACTTGCTCACAAAACGCTTTTCACAATACCTTTTGATAATACAACTCTGCAAAGCAAACAAACCATTACTGACATGAGGAAAATTGTCTTTCAACAGGCTTGGTGAGTCTAAGGGATTAGGTGAAGTCTATGTTTAAAAATGAATGTACGTTTCTGACTGTTACCCTGCGTGATACACAACTGTAGTTAAGTCAGATTCACTTTGACGATCATTCACTCATACATGTAGAAGACCTGGGCTAATAGTCTAAAACTGTTATAAGAGACCGTGCATGAAGAACAGATGCGATAAAATGAGCCATTTAAAAAAAAAAGAAAAAAAAAGAAAAAGCCCGAAACGTAACCCTGATTTTCTTTTTAGAAATAAAGATTAAATATTTCTTAGCAAATTCATGCGCAAAATCGCATGCATCTGAGACAGTTTCTTCCGCTTGAAGCTGAAAGTAAGATTACATCTGAATAAAGGTTAAAATGTCTAACTTTCTCAGAGTTGTCCGATGTGTTGTTTGTTACTAAACTAACACATTTTCAACTTAATACGGCTCACAATAAAACATTTGAAAGTCAAACTATTACAATTGAAGCCAATGCACGGTATTAATTAAAACAAGACGTACACAGCTTACATGTATGTACAGCACTGACACAAAATTAAACGAATTAAACGTTTGTAAACCTGTGTAGTGACTTTCCCACAAGACTGTGATAACATAATTAAGTGTTAACAAAAAATCAAATGTTATACGTAGTACCTTTCCTGTTTCAGCATTTCCCATGCTAATGACTTTTATCCGAATGGCCGTCTTGTTGCGATGAAATTTATCCATGCCGATCAATATTGTTCAATCCGCTGGAAAGTCACTAATCTTGTTACATCCCTCGAAGCAAATTTTGTCATATTTCTATGACAAGTAAACTTTTCACTGCGTTGTACATTTCTAGTGTAGCACTTCAGGAGAGTTTGAATCACAAACAATTAGAAAATAGCTTGTGAAGTTGTGAATTTGCGTAAACAAACTCAAAAGTTCATGGAAACCGCGCCGACGCCATCTTGGTTACAAACTTCGTCACCAGTGTCAATGAACAGAAATTGTGGAGTAGGAACTGGGTTAATCGTCTTCTCCAATCTGGACCAATCTGGACCTCAATCTCTACAATGATGATAGAAGAATTATTTACTTCATTATATCACAGTCGGACCACTCTATGTGTTCGTGGTTAATAATTGTTTATAAGAAACGAACAGAGAATCTATGAGGGTTATGAATAAAGCTCTGAAAATTGCATATTTAAATTACATCTCGGTCTGAATATCCCAATCATAAGTTTAGTGAAACGTTAATCAGCTCACGTATGGTGTTTTTTCGCTTTCCTGGGTCGTCTGAAGCGTCTTTTTTACGAAATTACTTTTGGCCGGAGACCGGTAAGACAAGAGAGGGAGGCTATCTCTCTCTCTTGTCTTACCGGTAGTGTAAGCTGGTGTAAGTCCTTAGCACGCATTACCTATACATATGAGTTGATTTCCACATGATCACTACGATCGGTACGTCTCCATATGGCGATCGCAGCGATCATACTACAAAAAAAAAACACCCACAAACTGTTGTTCCCGCTCATAAAAAGTAAAAACATTCCACCGTGTCTGCAAAACCTGTTTAGCAGGTTAGTTGTAACCCTCTCAGTTCCCATGAGCCCACGCAGTGCAAAACACTACCCGAAGTTTGGTTTTCGAGAATGAAAAAAAATTGAGATCTGTTCTTAAAAATTTTAGTGTTTAGCTACAGGATATTTTATGCCGGCATCTGTATTTTGATCATGATTCGCCCTGCAGGTCAGGCTTGATAAAAAAAATGCATGAATCGCAAAATACACAGGGACAACTCACTGAAAAGTCTATATCATATTTATTCTTCAAATCGGCTTAATTCGAAATGATTAACAATGAAAATACAATAATCTTAAATATTACACCGCAGTACTTGGTCTTTACCTTTTTCTTTTAGATTATGATTTTGTTATTTCAGTTTAAGCACACGGTATTCTAACTGATTTCTTGATGTTACACGAACTTTTAATTATTCAAATCCAGCTGTCCGCTGAACAAAAAGTCAAATTAATGAACGCTAATCTTTCAAAAGAAATATACAAATGAACAGCCATATATAATTATTACTAAATTACTAACAGAAAAAAAATCTTTGTGGCTCCTGAGCTTAAATGACTAAATTAAATTGGACGAACAATTCATGTAAGATTCTATCGATTTCACGTAAGGCAATGTTCCTCAGTTGACAAAATATTCTTTACCCAGTATCAAAAACAATCGGATGAATTTCACTGATTCGATGAAAAATAGCGTCGAATTGTCCCTTAAAACAGATCAAATTAATAGAATATCCTCATCACGGAGATCAGAGTTTTCTTTGCAGGACAGTGAAAATAACCGTTTCGTTTTTTTGCAGGCAACCGCGCAACAAACTAGTGACACAGAACACATCGGGACAATTGAAATCAGTGCTGGATAGGGTCTGTCGGTATCCACTTGACTCAAGAATGCGATCGCTACCGAATAACTTGCAACTACTCCGACGAGGCACCGAGGCGACTTGAAAAACGACATGGCGAAGTTGGCAACTATAGCGCCGATGATTATGTCTCCTGTTCCGAGAAAGACGTGTGTTTGATTCTCGCCAAAGCGCACTGTAAACACAGAAGGCAGCTCCCAGGCGCTGTTCATTTCAAATAACTGACATAGCAGATTTCCGCAATCCCCGATGCTAAGGACTTGTGGAGTGGAGTGGTTCATTCGAGCAAGAAGGCAGACGTCATAAACGAGCGCCGTCCAAAGAAAAATCTGTAAAAAGGCAAAGTTCCTAAATTGGACGTGACTGGCCAAGAACGCAAACATGGCGATGATAATATTGTTGATAATCCATCGGAATTCGGTCTGTACTGATAAAAGCCAAATTGCGCCGAATGAAATGCCCAGTATATAACCCAGCTTCAGAGGCAGCCATTGGGCAAATGCGATCATAATGAAGCTCACGACAGCGACATGCTGTAAAAATATCATTACGGAAGGGTAATATTGGAGGACGACCACTGTCAGCCCCATCGCAGCGAAATAAGTAAAGTTCAGCAGTAGATACTGTGGAAGTTTAAGTTCTGCGCCTTTGGCAACTTGATTTTCAACCGTTTTGTTTTCTTGACTATCTGTTTCGTCGCTCTTCGAAGGGTTACTCCATTGTCCACTTCGCCGCATCTTTTCGCCGTAAATTGCGCTAAGAAAGACCAAAGCGCTCACCGAAACATCCATGATCCAGAAATTGTAAAGAACCATTTTCAAATCAAGAATTAAACCAGCAAATAACTGCCGTTGCTTGAAAATTTTCTTGTTGGGCCTATCTCTAAAAGAAGTTTTGATTTGAAACAACCTATTATCAGAAATTTTTGAACCTGCTATGACGTCACGAGGTGAAACACTGGTCGGTAACAGGCGGTCTTAAATAATAGACGATCAACAGAAAAGACTTTTTATGGTTATTTACTGGTAGAACAAGCAGTGATCAACCATATTAAGCTAAGACATTGGAAACTACTGACACGGAACCATATTTTACTTTTTTTCCATTGTGGCTAAAAAAGTGCATTTTATCTGGCGATAATATAACTGTACTTTCACGTTTTGGGTCATGGTGAAAGTTTCTTCGCTTCCGACTTGATTTCTCGCACAGCGCTGGGAGGTGTTCTTAATTTTCTATACAGTTTATAACGGGTAGCGAAAGTTGATATCTCTCTCGGTAAGTGAGTGGTGTTAATCTCCAGCAAGCACACGCTATTGCTTTTTACGTGCGAACATTAACACTATTTTTCTTCAGAGGCAAAGCATGCCGTTTACAAACAGTACAAAGCCTGGCTTCTAATAGAACATGCAAAAATGCAACATCCACATAAATGTTCCTAAATCCGCTAGGCATAAGGCCAGTTTAATTAGTGCCGGATTATCATAGTAAGAACGAAACACGATGATCAGAGGTTTAATTAAAAATATTTTAATGTTGCTGACATATTCGATATATCAGCCATAAGATATAGTTAGCCTACAGATTGTTTTTTTGATCGATCTGTCATAAGCCAATAAACATATGTCGCTGTGAGTTTTCTATCGTACAAAGCGAACGAGAAAGCCTTCCTTCCATTCATTTTCACGTTATAAGATGCGTACACCTTGTCGATCTCTCCTAGCCGGCCAGACTCTGTTGAGCGGATTTTTCACCAACGAGGAGAAACATATTCGCCGATTATTCTGTATTCATGGCACAAAGCACCTGTGTTTAATTAATTTGCTAATTACTGTTTGTGTCCACTTTAGATCGTGAAGAAAGTTTTTGAAGTATTTGTTTATTGTAACCAGGATATCAATTTGAGGTTCTCGGACCGAATTCCCTCCCTAAAAACGAATCTATCAAACAATCAATCAAACTATTGTCTATTAACAGTAGATAACAGATTTCAACAGCTGGGCTACCACTAACGCCTCATAGACAAGAGATATGGGCTCCGTCCACGCTTCACGGGTGCCGGAGAAACTTGACAACCGGCGACAAAAGCGCCATTTTTGATGTGTCTTTGAGGAAGACTCGGGCGGAGAAATTACATGATTATCGCGACGTCATCGTTTCCGAGAAGCTCTGTTTTCAAGAAGTTTTCCGTCCGCACTGCAACGCGGAGCGGGCGTTTTCAAATTGCTCTGGTTTGAAGCGCGGCATCGAAGAGCTTCATTTTAGAGTGGACGGCAGGCCTAACCGTGGCAATAAAGTGGCGTTTTCAAATTTCTCTAGCCTACTGTGGACGGGGCCATACTCTGGATATGGTCTTATGATCTGTCGCTAAGAAACGGATCACGCCGTGGTCACGTGACGCCTGGAACTCTCGTGGTAATTTTTTGATTGGTTGACAAAAAACGGAAATTTTACCCGTTCTTTAACGAAGATTTACCACTGAGCTGTAGCTGGCAATATTGTAGCCAAAGAATTGTGCTAAAATTCTCAATTGGCCTTATACCCGGGCCTTATAACAACTGTCTTTTTGCGCCTCGGCTCGTACAGCTTCATGCCTTTTGTCGCTGATAATTTTTATGATACCTTCAGCTCCTTTGACAATAGATTGTCTATCTGAATCAAGGGATGCAGTGTCCCTATTGTTTCGATGCTTGTTTTTCTCCTTACCACCTGTCTGCTTCTTATTTCACTCAAATTGTTAGGAGAAATTAGAAGTTGATAGAAATGTGCAATTAAAATTTGAATATTTACCTTTTGTGATAGCAATAACATGGAGTCTGCCGTCCTTAGCGTGAGTTAAGCCTGATTTATTTTTTCTCAAAGACCTCGTAGTTTGTGTGCAGCTATTGGTGGCAGAACTGTCTGTTGTCCCTTGTAGAATTGTCAAAATACAAACAATTAGACAACGTGCGAACCCAATTTCTTTTTTGCTGTGCCGGAGCAAATAGTCAACAAGGCGCTGCCGAGTTGAATATCACTCAGCGAAAACAGCGGCGAGAATTAAGTATCATTTCCTTTCGCACAAACCGAAAAATTGCAGTGTCATTTCCATTTAAGTGAAAAGAAATATAAAAATAAATAAAATAATTTTTAAAATCATTAAAATTTACCCTTTCATCGATTGTCTCCGCAGCGCGCGATCGCTCTGATCTCCATGTGACTGTTACAGGACGCTGAACTGTTTTTTGGTGGCTGATCGAAGCGTCAAATGGGAGCCATTATTTGACTCTTTTAAGAGCAATCGCGGGTAGCGTGTTCTGTCACCGAATAGACAACAATTGGAGAACCAGTCAGTTTCGAGTCGTGCAATTAACACGTCGAGTACTGTATTCTATAAGCGTGGATTCCATTTTGATCTCAAATTTTAAACGTCATGTTACCGTAACACCAGGCCGTACCCTTGGTTACTTGTTTTTCACGAATTCAATAACCCATTATCCACTAGTTTATGTTGAAGCGTATTTCATTATGCCGATAACCGAAAGCATAATGTTATTTTATCGCGAGGCATTTCCTATTTCTTATCAGTTTGCGCGTTGTGCTCTAATCTGGCAACAATAGAAGTCTCCTGTCAAATGAAAAATGGGCGCGTGCCACAGTTAAGTACAAAAGGTTGGATATCTTGTACACGCGGCCCCTTTCTACTATTGCCATCATCGCAAGAAGAACTTTTCCGCTATTTAGCGTTCAGACGTATTTGTTCTCTTTCCATCCACTTGCTCGGTCACCGACCCGCAGACTTTCAACGTATCTTATGTGGTATCTTACTTTAGGTTTTACTGGTGGCCAAAGTTTTAATCCCACCTTTCCTGAAGAGATTTTAATCTTTGTTTGTAACCTTAGTTTCAATTAAACTCGTCACATTTGTGGCCATTTATCCCAAACGATTTGTTTCTATTGTCGTCTACCTATCTCTTCAGCAAACTAGTACGACGCCATGCGGAGCTCTCGATGTCTTAATGTGTGCAAATGACTCAAGATAAAATATGAATTTCATTTATTAGATGTTATGTCCGAAATATATATGCCTGTAGTTTATCTTATTGTGCTCCAATCTTAAGCAAGCGACTTTTGGTATGTAAGTTAAAACTTTTTGCATTCTCTAATTCAGGGTAAAAAAGCTTGCTACCTTTATGGGAGGAAAAAGGAATAATTTAGGCCTTATCATAACTAGTCAGTGTGTATTTAACCGTGATCGTTCTTTTTATTAAATCGCTAATACGCAGTTCAAATATAGGAATAAGTTGTGTATTGACCTGTGATGGTCTCTCTTCCAATTAAATCCTTGTTCAGCAGCTGAAAAATTTTATAATGTCTTTTTTTTATGACTGAGATATACACACCTATGTTTTTTTTTTTTTAATTTACTCCAAATCCTAAGGAGGCCATTTCCTAATTTAGGGTGAAAAAAAAAATAATAATAAAAAAACGCCTACCCGTATATATGTATGAGACGGAACAAACCATGGCCTTATTACACCTAGTGGAGTTGTGTACTTAACTGCGACAAATTTTCTTGTAATTAAATCTTTATTTTTTTCCCGCAACTCAAATAACTGAATTTAATATATTCTATATTATGTCTAACATAATTTTTTTTGTTTAATTATACTCCTTTACTAAGGGGGCTACAGTTGATAAAAGTAAGTTAAAACTTTTGTATTCTTTAATTTAGTGTACAAGTCCAGCTACATGCATGAGAAAGGAAAAAAAAAAACACACACAACAATTTAGGCTTTATCACAACCACTTAAATCATGTTTTTAGCCGGGATGGTTTTTTTTCTAATTAAATCTTTATTCGACAGTTAAAATATATGAATGTCATATATTACGAATCCACATGCATATGATAGCCTAGCTTGTTAAATTGTTTACGTTAGTTAAATTTTTTGAAATTCCCTAATTTAGGGTTAAAAGATAATTAAGAAGTAAATATTTGGAAAGTTTGTCGTGAGATGAACCGGTACCAGATGTTGTGACGTTTTTAACCATGCATCGTTGCATAATTAGCTAGAACATTGTCATAAAACCTCTTAAAAAGTCAGAGGCCAGAGAGTATCAGTCGACCACTATCATAGTTGGCGAGGGTTCATCTCTGTGGTGCTGGTAAGCGGGTTGTAATCTTTTTCGAATTAACTTTTCAGTCAATAGTAAAATTAGGACCAGAATTATCCTTGTTTTCGGAGTCTTTTGAAGACAAAGGTTGGTGTTAGTGAGGCTCATGTTTCTGTTCAATCAGCCTTCTGACCGGAGCTAAAAAAGTAACAAAGGACAAGCAATTAGTTTTGTCCTATATTGGAAACTTTTAGGATTGGGAGTCATCAACGCCGCACTGATGTCCCAAATTTCGGACCGAGACGAAGCTCGTTGCCAAGAGCGATCTTAACCTATTGGGGATCAGCCATCGAAAGAGCGTGACTGGGACGTCATCGCGCAAGAATTATCGCCTTTTGATTTCTTCTAAATTAGTTTTCCTATCCAAACTCAACTTGGGTTTACACGAAACAGTTAGTCTTTGGTACCGTTTTAATCAGCGTAGCTGGCGAACCCGTGAGAATCGAGCAAAATTATTTTCAAGTGAAAACAACAAACAAAAACAAAATCAGCTCAGTGTTATCGTTTTCCAAACTACAACATGAAGGAGGGGGGGGGGGGGGGG